TGGATCCCAAGAAGAAAAAGTTAGAGTCACAGAGATGTACAGCACAGAAACAGACCCTTCGATCCAACTCGTCCCACCGACCAGACATTCTAAATTAATCTAGTCCCATTTGCCAGCATTTGGCCCATGTCCCTCTAAACCCTTCCTATTCATATACCCATCCAGATGCCTTTTAAATGTTGTCATTGTACCAGCCTCCACCACTTCCTCTGGCGGCTCATTCCATACACGCACCACCCTCTGCGTGAAAACGTTACTCCTTAGGTCTCTTTTAAATATTTCCCATCTCAACTTAAACCTGCACCCCTCTGGTTTTGGACTCCCCTACCCTGGGGAAAAGATCTTGACTGTTTACCCTATCCATGTCCCTCATGATCGATAAGGTCACCCCTCAGCCTCCGATGCTCCAGGGAAAATAACCCCAGCCTAATCAGCCTCCCCTCATAGAACTATGCAAAATGTTAGCACACCCCAAAACATTGCTGGGACTTTGGATCTCCAGTCAGAATAACAGCCCTCAAGTGCTCGCTGACCCACGTTTTGATTTTGAAATCTGTTCCTTGTTTTGAAACCCCTTTGTGGCCTCCCTTCCCTATCTGTATGATCTCCTCCAGACCAGCAGCTCTTGCGCATATCTACAAGCCTCTAATTTCAGCTTCATGAACATCCTCAATGTGAACCAGTGGTGGTTGTGTGCCCATAGTGTCTCTGCCTCTCCTGCATCAAGCCTACTAGGATTCCAATCGCTCCAACCTCATGTCTCCTTTTACAGCTCCATACTTTGTTGGTCAGTGCTCACCTTGGAACGGCTTACAATGTTAATATACATATGTGTGTTGTTAATGGCCAGGTGGGGTGTAGATTCTTCAGGGATCACATCTCTCAACATCAAAAGGGAGAGCTATCTTTCACATGACAAAAGAAACAAGGTGGGATGGGACAGCTGACAATGTAAAACAGAATGAGAAATCAACTGTCTTCAAGTTACATTGAGCTGTTGTGAATTATAGTTTGTGTTTTATGGGAGAGACTGAATCCAGATTTCCTGTTTCAGGACTACTGATATTACATGAAAGTTCACTTGTTGCAACAGCCATCGCTATGGTCAGCACGTTATTTTCCTACTGTGCAGCAGCTTTTATACTCTATTTTGCCCTGGGGAAATACAGAGGTAAGAGAGTGAATTTCCTGTGATTTCTTATTCTGTCACTCGCTTGTGCAGTGAGCCATACCAACAGAATCTTTAACCTACGGATATTCTGCGTCTATACAGAGAGTGGTGGGTGCGTGGAATGCGCTGCCGGCAGTGGTAGAACAGTCAGACACATTTGGGACATTTAAGCGACTCTTGGATGGGCACACGGATGATAGTATAGTGTAGGATATCCAGGGTAGTTTGATCTTAGGGTAGGATAATAGGTCGGCACAACATCGTGGGCCGAAGGGCCTGTACTGTGCTGTTCTGTTCTATGTTCTATGATTCCTCATTTGTTTGTTTTTCTAGTTCACAAGAGGCATCTGCAGCTCACAACAGCCTTTGTCTTCTGCCAAATATTCTCCTTTCTCTGTGTCCTGATCTCCTGCCTCCTCTGTAGTCTCAATCCAGGTAAGTGTCCTTTCTCTGCTGTTTTTTATGTGAATTCTCACACAAGCTGCATTGTTATACCATTCCTCCAAAGCAGACATGGAGGGAACTGTCCTCCCCAGCAGCTGTGCAAAAAGAGCACGATAACTTGCATTTGTATAGCACCTTGGGACGAGGTCCTCGTGCATGTCAAGTAGGCTTCGAGGAGATGAGGCGAAACACAGAAACTAGCAACTGAGCTGATCAGCTGAGCTGTTGTTGGGTGAGGAAGGAGTTGGTCAATTCCTGAATTTTCAAACCCTGACGAGGAATCTTCACCAGTGAGTTAAGTTCTCACCTCAATGGCCAAACTGGAAGACAATATTCCCAATAGTGCAGCACTCCCTCAATATTAGAACATAGAACATAGAACAGTACAGCACAGTACCGGCCCTTCAGCCCACGATGTTGTGCCGAACTTTTACCCTAATCCTAAGGTCTATCTAACCTCCACCTCTACCTTATACTATCATCCATATGCCTATCTAATAGCTGCTTAAATGCCCCTAATGGGGCCGACTCCACTACCCTCTCCAGCAATGCATTCCACGCTCTTACCACTCTCTGAGTAAAGAACCTACCTCTGACGTCTCCCCTATATCTACCTCCACTCACTTTAAAACTATGCCGCCTCGTAATAGCTACCTCCACCCTAGGAAAAAGTCTCTGGCTGTCCACTCTATCTCTACCTCTGATCATTTGGTACACCTCTATCAAGTCACCTCTCATCCTTCGTCGTTCTAAAGAGGAAAGCCCCAGCTCTCTCAACCTTTCCTCGTAAGACCTTTCCTCCATTCCAGGCAACATCCTGGTAAATCTCCTCTGCACCTTTTCCAACACTTCCACATCTTTCCTGTGCCCTGCATTGCCCTGAAACATCAGCCTTTAAAGGCATTTGACAAGTTGTCACACAGGAGACTGCTAAATAAGATCCCGTTAGTGTTAGGGACATAGTACTGGCATGGACAGAGGAGTGGCAGACTGGAAGATAGCGTAGACTGGGGATAAAAGGTCTGTTTCAGGGTGGCAGCTGGTGACTAGTGGAGTTCCGCAGGAGTCTGTGTTGGGACCACAATTGATGATGTGGACGAAGGAACTGAGGGCAGTGTTGCTAAGTTTGTGGATGACACAAAGATAGATAGAGGGTCAGGGAGGAAGCGGGGAGGCTGCAGAAGGACTTGGACAGACTGGGAGAGTGGGCAAAGTAGTAGCAAATGGAATACAATGTGGGAAAAGTGCAAGGTTATGCACTTTGGTAGGACAAATATAGGCATAGTCTATTTTCTAAAGCGGGAAAGGTTTTGGAAATCTGAAGCACAAAAGGTTAGATAGACCTTAGGTTTAGGGTAAAAGCTCGGCACAACATCGTGGGCCGAAGGGCCTGTACTGTGCTGTACTGTTGTATGTTCTATGTTCTATAAGACTTAGGAGTCCTAATTTAGGATTCTCTCCAGGTTAACGTGCGGGTTCAGTTGTCAGTTAAGAAAGCAAATCCAATGTAAGCATTTGTTTCAGGAGGGCTCCAATACAACAGCAGAGATGTATTGCTGGGGCTATCGGTCCGATACAGTGTGGAGCTGGAGGAGCACAGCAGGTCAGGCAGCATCAGAGGAACAGGTTCAGTCGGGACCCTTCTTCAGGATCCATTGGGTCAATGGGCTGAGGAGTGGCAGATGGAGTTTAATTTGGATAAATGCGAGGTAATGCAGTTTGGTAAAACAAAGAAAGGCAGGCCTTATACAATTAATGGTAGGGTCCTAGATAGTCATAGAGTCACACAGCACAGAAACAGACCCTTCGGTCAAACAGTCCATGCTGACCATAATCCCAAACTAAACTAGTCCCACCTGCCTGCTCCTGGCCCATAACCTTCCAAACCTTTCCTAGGAGAGAACGTAATTCTTTGAAGCTTGCATCACAAGTAGACAGAGTGATGAAGAAGGCATTTAGCACGCTTGTCTTCATTGCTCAGACCTCAAAGGACTCTATGACTTTAAGTCCTGTTCTCTCTTTTTTTCTTAATGTATTTGTAGAATCTCTTTGGATTCTCCTTAAGTCCATTTGCCAAAGCTATCTCATGTCCTGTTTTTGTCCCCTGATTTTCCTCAAGTATACTCCTACTGCCTTTATATTCCTCGAGGGATTCACTCAATCCCAGCTGTCAGTACCTGCCATATACCTCCTTCGTTTTCCTGATCGGAGCCTCAATTTCTCTCATCATCCAGCATTCCCTACACCTACTAGCCTTGCCCTTTGCACTAACAGGGAGATATTGTCCCTGGATTCTCGTTATCTCATCTTTGAAAGCCTCCCACTTTCCAGCCATCCCTTCACCTGAAAATAGCATTTCACAATCAACTTTTGAAAAGTTCTTGCCCAATACTGTCAAAATTGGCCTTGCTCCAATTTAGAATTTTAACTTTTATCCTTTTCCGTAACTATTTTAAAACAGTCAAATCATGATCACTGGCTCCAGACTGCTCCCCTTCTGACACCTCAGTCACTTGCCCTCCCTTATATCCCAAAAGAAGGTCAAATTTTACTGCTCTTTGTGTACAGGACATACCTGAGTAATTTTCCACATTGCCAGGTAGATACCGGCGTTGTAACTGGAACTGGAAGAGCTTCACTAGGGGAGCAGCAAGCTTTGGAGAACACGTCTTCAGGGAATGTTGTCAGGGCCTGTAGCCTTTGCAGTATCCAGTGCCTCCAACCATTTCTTGACATTATGTGGAGTGAATCGAATTGGCTGAAGACTGGTATCTGTGA